ACTAATAAAAAACTAAGCATTTATTAAAGTAAAAGTAAAATAATCATCTACGATATTATACTGCATATAAAATAAGATGACATCCAGCCATCCCATAGAAAATGTTTGAAACTTCATATCTGTTTTGTCAAATGTTATGGATTTCCTGCAAAAAATAGGATCGTTCTCACTTGCAAAGCACTCATAAGATACTATTTAGCTATAAACATGATTATATGGGCTACTTTAACTGTCTAATAAATTTGGACGGAGATATAAATTTACAATCAAACATTTTTTTAATAAAAAAAGAAGAGTAGGCATTATATCGTTAATTTTTTAACGTTAACTTACTAACATAACAAATCTCTTGCTTTCAGTGCTTCTTTATGAAAATGTTCAGAGGATATTATTGGTGAGGGATATGAGGATATGTAAGGAATGTTGAGAATGATCTTAGAACATTGTGGAATATTCTAGAAAAATTCTATTACTTTTTATTTAATGCTATACAAAAGACATAAGTCTGTTCACAGATGCTGATTGCAGTCCTTAATCTATTTACCATTTTCTTGAACAATTGTCAAATTGACGGTTTATGAGGAGGATGAAGCTAATTTGTATAGTTTATTTTTCTAGTAACAGGTAATCTATATCTTCAGGTGTTCTATATCTTATTTTATACAAATTTCAATTGTATAAATACTAGAACGCATATCTGAAAACTGAAAAGTTATGCGTTCCCATGTTGTAAGTGCAATATTGAAAACCTTTAGAATTAAACCTAGGCTGAGTGAAATTTCACCTTCAATTATAATTCTGAATTCAGGGAGTTTGTAGTAAATCTAATCTCTCACTTTGATATACGATAGTTAATGGTATACAAATAGGTGAAGTTGGGTACCTGGGAACATAAAAGTATTCGATTTGATACGCATCGATTAGCTTCGTAATGTTACCATAGAGACAACGTACTGCAATAAGCACTTTAACATTTTAGTAACTATTAGGCAATATTAATTTTGTGCATTATATTAAATAGTTTTTAAGTCTGTTTGAATTTAATAAATGATTAATTTTAATTTAAAGAAAAGAAATATAAAAACTTTTAGAGGAACAAAACCTCTCTACCGCAAGAACTCTATTTTGGATGTTAAATTAACATCAACTCATAACAAGGATTATTGTACCTTAACTATTAAGGATTAAGATGTATAAAAACTGTGTTCTGCCTCCATGCGTCGAAATAAAAAAAATACAGTAGCCGTGGTCCATCCTGGACTATGGGTTCTAGATTTGACCATGAAGCCCACAGCTATTACTACTTCATAATATGATACGTTGTAGGAAGCAATTTAATTACCTTATCGTGCATAAGCACTGCATTTATTAAGTTAAAAATAACAATACTGCGTCATCATTATTCAAGGTTTGTTTTCCATCAGATATATTTGATTGACTTCATAATGAGCAAATGCATTTCCAACTCCATTGGTTGAGTAAACAATAAGTCGATGTATTCTCCCTAAACCAATATTTTATTAAGTGTGTTATTATTCCAAATAGTATTAAGTAGAGGTTTGATTATTAAGTATTTATTATTTTAAAATATTTTAAATTTGATGACAAATTATAAAAACGCCCTATTTAAACTACAAACTCGAGGGCTTCGGTGCACGAGGTCACGGGTTCAAATCCCGCCAATCACCAATGGATTTTATTCGAAAAACGAGAACCCAATGTCGAGCAGTATTATGGCTGGTGCTGTGATAATATTTAGGTCATGAATGATTGTTACGCAATTTTACGTCACATTCCGTTTAAAGTTTTGAGCTCTGGACAATATAACATGGAAACACACATTAGTGAGCAGCAGGTTTGAATTAACCTGTCCAAAATTGCAGCCCGCAGTGAAACACATTCAATCTGATTTTATTGAAAGGAGAATCGCTACCTGATGTATTTCTGATGGAAGCAATTTTATCTTGATTTTTGTGAAGGAATGAGTAATATATTTTTACCAGAAGGATAAGGAAAACCAACTAATGAAAATTTAAGAAATCCTGCTTCGTTCTTGGTGATGGTTTAATGATACAATTCAGTCATAATAAAACAATCGGCTGAATAGCAATAATATGTGAAATGCGTGAGAAATTACTAGCAACAGTCTTGTAACATATACGCCACGAGGGAGGACACATAAGACAATAATTTGGTTCTCTACAACAAAAAATTTATACGCCTACAATTAAATTTTACCTCTCAAAACTAAAAACACTTTTAAACTTTTTAAGTCCTTTTGGAACTGCTCAAGTCAATTAAAAAAATTTTCCCGATTCCGCATAATTTTTTTTTGTGAACATTTATTTCTCCTTTTTAAAGTAATCATAAACATTATGTTTTGGAAGATGGAATGCTGTATTTTTAATTAATCATTAATGCATTGCGTTTCCGTTGCGTAATAATGGAAAAATCTGGTTTCACAAAAAAGGCTTGAACGATTTTAATTCAAATTTAGTATTTTGTGGTTACTATAAATCTTCATAACAATCTGTTTAATATTTTTTAATAAACTATACTTAAAACCCCTATTGTTAAACAATTGATAAATCGTTTAACAACTTCATTTATAATTTGAATCCCCCCAATTCCAGCTGTATACAAACAAACCTCGCAATATTGTTGTTATAAAGATAGAAATGGCACAACAAGGCATCCTGTTACGACGACCGCAATTCAAGTCGTCGTCATCTTTAGTTGGTCATATATTAAAGAATACATTGTTAACCTTTCAGCATTCACAATCTTTATCAATCACATACACATATTCTGTGGAGCAATATACTTCCATTGATGAAGAATAATTTGGTATTGAATGTAGCGTTAATATTATAAAAATATCATTAATCAAAAAACCTTTTAGTAGGATATCTATTACGCTATGGAATTACTTTATTTTCACAAAGGACCTGTTTTTATTGGAATCTAGAAAATCCCTTTTTAATATAAGAACGAATATTTAATATCTTCGAGTGTCATCAATTAATTCAACATGACCACCAGCCTACCCTTTTATAAGTTTGTATGATTTACTTCATTAAAGATTTAGGTCAATTGAAACAAACATTGAAATCACATTTTTATTCGAAAAACATAACAAAATATAAATAACTAAATCTTTATTATAAAAATATGAATTTAATGAGCTCAATAAAGTTCGGCATGTCTTGAGATCATAAAAGTCTTTATTTTTCGACATTATTCCTATACCTTTACCATTTAACAAAAGAATATTGATATAAGATATGTAATAAAACAAGATACCTACTAATCATATTAAAATTGTTTGTTTGAATGTAAACATCTTAAACCTAAGCTGAATAGCACATTATAGTAAATGAATTTCTTGCAAAATTTATGACAACCTTTTACATACATATAAGGATGTATATATATATATATATATATATATATATATATATATATATATATATATATATATATACTGTATGATATAAACAATTCTTTCCGTTTTATGTAATTTTATTTTTATTTAAACTATCAGCTACTTAACTTGTTAGCTGATCAGCTGTAATAAGCGAAGTAGTTGTACTTCTTTTCACTATTTTGTTTGAGTGTAATTGTTTTTTGGTTTGTCTTTAAAAGACAAGAGTCGTTTTTACTGTTGAAAAATGATTAACTGATAAATAGATATTTCTAAATTAACAGATGTATACCTTTTATTGTTTTTATATGTTTATTTCGCTCTATATCTAGGTGAATATAAAAATAAAACATGTATTAACTAAAAAAAAAATACGTACTGTAATTCATAGATTACTCATGGTTAAATGTCCCTTGTAATACTTCTTACATATAAAAAAAATAAATCATATATGAAATACATAAACGATTAGTCTTATTTTTGTATTATTATGAATATGAGGAAATAGCTTTACACCCATGAAAAATGCATGACGGAAATTGTGGTGTTAAAACTGGAGACCATAACAGAAATAAAAACCACAAAAAAATAGTATTAACATTGGCTTTTGAAATATTATTGTGTAAAACATAGCCATTCAACACCAATAAAGAAATTTAAAATTTATACAGTTGTCTGTCTAATTGGAAGATAGCAATATAGTCAAACCTTTTTTTTTAATCTTCGCTAATAAATCTTTCGCTAATAAAGTCAGTAGCGAAGAGGTAAAGTAGTAGCAGTCTTAACTAGAAAAGTTCTTTGCAATATTTTCACTTAAGTAGTTATATAAGTAAGAGTTTTATCGTTTCCGAATGGAAACCCAACTAGGAATCCTACTCAATAGGGATATTCCAAATGAGCATTTATCTAAACTAGCTGTTACCCACGAGCGTCACCACGTTTGACTTCATGAGTTTAAAAAAACTATTGGTTGGTTAAGTTAAGCTGAATTAAACTTAACAGAATACAATAATACAAAAAAATAATCACACCTGATTTTAATAAGCTAATAAATTGAAAGAATAACATACAAATAAGTACAGCTGAGGTATTTTTAACATTAGGTATATGGAAAGTTCCCTTTAGAAAGGAATTACAACCTTAAAGGGCAATTTATGAAATAATGGATAGTTTTGCGCAAGGTTTCTCGTCATGGCAAAATTTCAAAGTATATGGCTGTTGTGTGACTTGTAGTTTTCTCAAAAGTTCATGGGTACTTTGGTATTTATGGATGAACATATCCCAGATAATCATGCTCCCAAACAATCGTCACCATGAACAAGCATGTTCTCAAAAGATCAGTTCCCTAAAATGGACATTTTCTCGGATAAACTTCTTCCCGAATTGACATTTCCTATGCGAGCACGTTGCTAAGAGGGGGGAGGGGGTTGCACTGGAATACGTTTTATCCTTCTATCCTTGCAGCACATACACTTATCCTATGGAATGGCTCAACAAAACGTCCCAATGGAATGTTACCACAAGAGCATCCACACCAGTTTAAACTGCCGGTCTGGCTGCTATTGTGGTTCTACTAAGCACCTAACACAATCTACTGAGGAGTCATCACTTTGACCCCGTCCAGCCTGAGCACACAGTTAGACTGCCGCCTGTTGCAGCAGGTGTGACAGTAGTTCCTCTTGCCGCCGCTGAGCGCTGCTGGCGTGGAGGCTGTCCTCCTCCAACTGACCAATCGGACCACATCAACAGCGTCGTGCCTGGAGTCCATTGTCTGGTTACGCTGTTGACAGAAACACCTCTACAGATCATTCATTAGGGTAACATTTGCTTTTTAAACAATTTTCATTGTCTGCAGCTTAATATTTCGTCTCCATTAAGGCTATTAATCGATTTCTCAAGCTATTAGTCAGAAAAAAGTAAAAAGGCAGACTTGCCAGTGAGTACGATATACATTTTTGTTACTAACTACTTACTCCGTCATTATTAAGGCTGTTCCTGCTTGTCTATTATACACAAACGACTATCAATGTGAGTACACGTGGGTAGTTAGTTTTACAGTTTAGTTCGCTCAAAATCCGTGGAGATGAGTAAATTGACGAATAGCTAATTTTTCAGAGAATTTTTAATTAAAACTGGCTAGTAGCTTTTAAACTCATCCTGTATAGCAAAACAGTATTCAAGAGGTCTCAATAAGACTTTTTAGGCCCATTTTCCTTGTGTTTTGAATAGCTTCAATTTATACACATGTTAAGCAGAATAGATACAATTAATATTAGTTTAATATAAATTTTCCCTGTATCTCTTTCTTTTATAAATGAACAAATTCTAATTGAATTGCACAGCTGAACCGTCAATGACATAGTAATGATAGACTTTGAAGACGATTGATGCACGACCACAGTTAGATTCTTTAGCCAATCTCCACTTATTATGCATCGATGCTTAGAACTAGAGCTTCTTTTAAGGATTGAGAAGAACAAAAATAAATTAACTTTGTTAGTGAAGTTTAGTAAGTAATTATATTATTACAATACTATTATTACGTGCTGTAAGACACTGTAACTCTAATAATTACGAAGTAATATTTAAAATAAATAAGGCAACTCGTATCGTTACACCATTTAGCGTTATAATCTGGTAAAAATTGCGTTAAGTTTTTTGAGCGTTCAGGAGGAGTCACAGCTAACATACTTAAAAGTTTTAGGACAACAAAACGCTTGAAATACAAATTAAAAATGTGTTTTAATTTTAAGTAAACAAAAAAAGCAAGAAATCGATGAAATAGTCTGGTTATTTTGCTAAATTAATACTTACAATTTACTTCCGTTTTACACGAAGAAAAATCATTAAACTAAGATCAACTAATTTAAATTAAATTAAATTGTTTCTAGAGGGCTCAAGGAAAACAATTGTAGGAAGTAAACAAGTTAATGAACCCTAACGTAATAACATTCTCTATTAGCCTATACGAATATTTGATGAATTTAAAGTTACTCATGTACAAACTTAACATTGTTATAAGCAAAACGTTATATAACCAATTCATAATAATGCTGCTCACCACAACCATTTGAAGTCTGCTACGTTCTAAAGGCCCTTTACAGATTCAACCCACATGAAAACCCCAAAATGTAACCAACATGAAGGGGTTGTGAATTGCACACCAGTTGGTCCTAAAACACTAACTGGATTCTGTGTTTGGATTTTTGTTGGTCTGTTTAAAATTATTTGTTGTGATTCAAAATGTAATTGTGTATTATTTTTGTTCATATTTGCAAATTCTATACTTGTTTCTTTGTGCTCAATAGCGTTTACTTACTAAACTAACATTCCCATTTACACTCAAGTATCATTAATTTATTGCTATAATTCAACATGAAAAAGAATAAGTAATATTATAGTAATCACAATACAAAATACCCACAATATTCACATATTATTTAGAAAAATGGGAATATGATAAATGTCATGGTCAAATTATGTATAGCTTGAAATTACAGTTAAACAATATAATATTACAAACTCTGTTCACTATGGTTAAAAATTATTGAAAAAAGTTGATTAGAGCATTGACTATTGTTGATTATTTTTTTAATTAATTAACTTAAACTTTTTAAGTTAATTGTTAAAAGTGTATTAATAGTCATTGAAAAACTGGTATAAATTCTAGTTACGAACAGTATGATACTGTAACACGAATGATTGTTTTTCAACAATTTGAAAATCTACTATGTATATTACTAAATAGAGTGTTTTGTCACAAGGGGTACCTTGCTATTAAAAAAAAATAAGTTCCGGGGAAGGGGGGGGGATATCTCGCAAATTTATGAACCGATTTTCATTTTTTTTTCATCAAATATTTTCTTTTTTTATGCTCTTTCATTTGATATGTCACAAGGGGTACCTTGCTATTTAAAAAAATAAGTTGGGGGCAGGGGGGAAAGGGGGGGAATGTGAATGTAATGTTGAATGCAAAACAATTGGGCCCCCTACGTCAATAGATGATTCCCGCAATATATATTTCTATCTATTGCGGTTTTTACATAAATAAAGATGCAAGTTTCTAAAAAAACACCCTGTATAAGATGAAAATACAGGGTAGTACGTGGTTGCGTATTTAGTAGTGGTAAAATAACCAAGAAATAATAAATAATCATATTTATTTACCATATACTATTGGCCAGTTGATAATATGGGTTATAGTTCCCAATCCGTGATACATTGAGGATCTGGTCGAAAGGTAGAGTGCGGGTTTTTGGTTCAAATCCCACCAATATCCAATGGATTTTATCAGTTTTTTTAAAGTGATGATGACACAACCTTTAGTCGTAGTCTGAACTAATGTGAAAAATGATTTCGGGCTATAGCCTATGAGATCCTAGGATGTGAAGGTTCTTAACTAAGTAACTAAAAACAATTCATTATTTCTTAATTAATATACTTGACCCCACAAGTCGAGGAAAATCACAACATTGCAAGCCAAGACGGACAGAAAAAACCAAAGTGCGTGGAACAGAAAGCAAATGACAACAACCAGGCTAGGTAAAAATAATATTTATTGATAACATACAATAGCAAGTCAGCAGACAAAGGATGCAGTAGCGATTACATAAATATTTTGACAAACACTAAAATACATTACAAAAGTAGGAATGTAAAAGGACAATTGGTCAGGAATGGCAATGAGCAAGTGCATTGGGATCACAACAGAAATGCATGGCATTGTGGGTAATCACAGCTGTTGACGACCGTTCGAGAAGACTAGGCTTGGCTGAAATTGCATTTCATTGTCTCAGACCTTCTAGATATGTACATCAATTACAGGATGATATAGGTCAACTGGATTCTTAGATTTAACATATGTAGATTCATCATCCTAATGTATTAGCTATAGGCAATTTTAATGTATGTTTATGAACGGTGTGGAGTGCGTATAGACGTTAACTCTTTGATTCCTTTCGTTTTACCATTTGGAAATTTATAGCATTGGCTTTTATATAGGCCTACTGAAATATTCATTCTATCTATAAGTACTAGCTGTCACAATTTTTTCTTTTAAAAAGAATATAGTTTTGTGAGCCACTCATAGATTCCTAAATGATATTTACGTCCTTATCCTTTGTTATCAAGATAGTAGATAGGGCATAACAAATATTATAGTTTAGAATACGTATTTGTATTTATTTCTATTACAAACTATCGAAACTGTGGGTTTCTTCTAGTATTATTAATAATAGAATGAAGTGCACTTTGTAAAATATATCTCACAACAGGAGATGATTATTTATTAAAATCAGCACACTCCAGCAAAACCGCTCATGAAAAAATGCTTCAGATCTGACAATAGGATAGGAAATGTCCTGGCAGCGTCCTAAACCACTAACAAAATAGTTTAGCAACACCAAACGTTCAGGATTGTTAAATAAATGTATAAAATAGGACGTATTGTTAAGTCTTTTGTAGAGTTAAAACTAACACTAGAGTATTAAACTCGTAAATTAAACATTAAAAATAGATCGATATGAATTAAATGTACGTTTTTGGCAACTTTATGAAAATATGTATTTTTTTGTCTGAAAAGCTTAATACATATATACTGTAAATATCGAGTTAAACTTTAAATAAATGCATACTAGGTGTCAAATAGTCGAGTTTAGTTATATTTCTTCCGGTTGATCATTTCGTCATATTTGTTATCTAATCATTTTCCAAACCAAGTGATTTATACTCCTAGTTTATAGAAGGAATTATAAGGGACAATTATAGTAATTTGTAACTGCTACACAACATTATTCTCAAGATCAATTAAGTTAAATATATGGGATTTCTAAACGACATATTTCATAGTCTAATATAAAAACACTTAAAATAAAAACGAATTGAAACTTTACTATGAACAGCTCAAATTACTAACATTTAATAAAAAGTCTCCTCCTTATGAACTATTCTAAAACACAAAAACATTGTATCGAGTAGTAAACTAAAATAAATAAATAACTGGATTGTGTGCTTTTCACATATCAAAAACTGTTAAGATTCACAATTACAAGTATGCTTTCTTACTAATTGTCTTCAACTAAAAAATACTTAACAATAAAAATAAATATTAAAAATACTGTTGATGTCACTTGTTAGTGTTAATCTTAATAGTTCTGATTAATTAATTAAAATCAACCCAACTTATCCATTTTAGTAAACTACTTTATTTTAATATCAAGATGAGTGTTTATTATACATTTCTTTTTATTAATTAATTACTATGGACGTGAGTAAAACCAGCTAATCTATTTTAGGTTTGTGGCATACAAACCAAAACTAAATTTGTTTCCTCATAAAAACAAAAACATAATTGATAGTCTTAAATCTAATTAGTTTTACTTCTAAACTACTCATTTTACGGTTTTGGTTAACAAGGGATTTAAAAATATACGCAAGAATACCCCACAATAACGTATAAAATTCAAACATTTAATTACGAAACAATTTTTGTTTCCTCATAAGATCAATCTTAACTCCGATAACAAAATGTAATTAACTCTCTGCAGAGTTTCTCTCACACGAGAAGCTAAAAGCGGTTTGAAACTGTTTGTTTGTATTGTAAACATTACACGCTTGAGTTCTAGCTTAAATATACCCAAAGTTGTATTGCTTCATCGTAATAAGATATACCGTAGTAAAAATGTAATTTAGCAAGTTTAAGTTTTTTGCTTAAGCTATGCCAAAAATTTGTCTCTCCTAAATGGGGTTTGTTAAGTTCAGGCTGTTTACCAAGTTGGATTATATAAAACATGTGTAATTTGGGTGTAGTGTTTTCCATTCTATAAAGTTTTTGAAAGCGTTACTCAATGGTTTAATAAAACCCTCCATTTTATGATTGAAATTGTTAGTTACATTTTGAGAATCAAAGCCACTGAACAAGTAGCATACTAAGAGCATACGTACGAGAAATACAGTAGAAGGATGTTGAAGTGGAATGTTATTGCCTCACTCTATTTTCTGGGTTTCGAAATTAGTATTCTCGAAATTCACTCTAAGTTCTGACGATATGTTAGTAGAAGACCCAAGATAAATATTGCCAGCCTTTGTCATTTTGCAGGACCTTCCGCCTAAAAATTAGCTTAAAATATTTTTCACAAAGAAAACTGACCCCAGCTGATAGAGAACGTAGGCATACTCTCACGCAATTCTGCCTTTGAAGTCGTTAATCAGTATAAAACTTCTTATTAACAATCCTACAGTAGTAGTAGATGGTATACAGTTCCCATCTAAGAAGTTGACTTAGTTAGCTCCATAACATGGCACATAAACTCAAATTTGTTAGTATGATTAATTTATTCATTGTCAAAAATCACTCCTGTAAAGAGGGAAACTCTGCTACACTCTTCCATGGAATGTTTAAAATATGTTTAAAACAACAGCATTAACCATGAGTATATACAGTAAATGATAGCAAAGGTGAAGAAGGGCATTTTAGAAAATTATACATACAAACGCTATATGTCTGCTCTCGACTATGCATAGTGGACTGCTGGGACGGGTGGCGTCGTTCTGTAATCCAGCTACTAGGAGGTCACGAATTGTGGATATTTATAGGCAGTACTATCCTGATAATTAGACCAATTCATTAAATACCAAGGAAAAAATGTGGTTCGGATTCCACTCTAAACTGTAGGTCCCTTAGTTGCCATTAGCTGTATGAGCTATTAATTAACAGCTGTGTCTAAGGAACATGTCGGCCTTAGTTACTAACAAGGCTACAAGATCGCGCCACTCATCCTACACTCATCCTTCACTCATATTTGGGTTTAAATACGCAGATAGTGGCGTCCCCATCTTAAATAATTGATAATAAATAATAATTGATATTTCATTACAAAAAGCAGAACAAACACTATCCTAAACAAATCTAACCAAGAAAATGACGTGTCTTACGAAGAAAAAGCCTCTATGGAGCTAAAACCCCATATAAATTTAAAACTCAGTTAATCAGTCACTGATAGGGAGAGACAACTTTCGCGATATGCGTTCATTCTAGAGCATAGAGTGGTCACAGTGGCAATGATAATCACAACCACAGCGAGCCAAGGAGGTGTACACCCCTCCAGGTGCCAAGTCAGCCCTAGCCTTCTCGAACGACTGGGTCTCGGGTCACTCGACGTTGCGCAGGCTGATGGACAAAGCAGGCAGGCGAATGTCAGTGGCGCATGTGATAGCTGTAGAGGATACACTTCGTCCTCGTACCTGGCCGGGGGTCCTCCGCCGCGTCCTGATGTTGAAGGCGCCGTAGACGATGGGGTTCATGCAGGAGTTGGTGCAGGCGAAGAGGAACAATCCTCGTTGTACGCGCTGGTCCACGTCCTTGGCGGAGGCAGGGAACAACCAGTGCCTGAAACAGTACTTGATGTCAATTGAGAGTCATTTTATTAAGTTAACATTAAGAAGAACATGACATAAGCAATGGTTGTGGCAGGGCACCAGTGCCTGAAACAGTACTTGATGTCAGTTGAGAGTCATCTAAGATGACGGTGAGAAGAAACCTAGCCTGACAAAAATGACGGTCTACTCAAGGGTGAGCTCATCATGGCATCAGCAGTGGTTGTGGCTGAAAACAACCAGTGCCTGAAACAGTACTTGATGTCAGTTGGGGAGTCATCATATTAAGTTGACGTTGAGAAGAAACGTAGCTTGACAAAAATGTAGGCCTACTCAAGAGTGTGCTCAACATGGCATCAGCAATGGTTGTAGCAGGGAACTACCAGTGCCTGAAACAGTTTAGTTTGGAGCTAGTTTGGTGGAATTTTTTTAATTGACTTGATGGTGTAAAGAGGAAATGTAAAATAGCTGATTGAGGGAATTCATTTGGTGGCACCGAGAAAATATTTACAAAAAAAGTAGTAAATGAGGGACATCCAGTTATTGGGACTGAGAAGACATTTACAATATTAGGATGAGTGAAATCCAGTTGGTTCTTCCAAGAAGACATTGGCTAGGTTGCAAATATTAAGTTAAAAGATATTGACTTAGAAATCTACTATAGTTTGGTTTCTTTTTTCCAAATAATGAAAGTTGTTTAGTAAACTTGCATATTTTATGCTCCTTGTTTTACTTACAACTCTCTTCCTAGAATCATGTGTTCGTAACCAAATAAAATAGTTTCTCTATTTTTATTATTAAAACATGTGTTCTATTCTAAAGGCAAATGTTCTTTTGTTAACATTGTAAAAGTGTGTGCACTTTCTCTCACTCTCAAAACCCTTCTGATATCAACATTACCTATCTAGTACTTCGAACAATTTATCACCTTGTGTCACTTAATCCTCTTTTATCTCAAATATCAACTTTATTTTTTAGATAAACTTTTACTCCCTTACAAAAAATCAGTCCTTCTTCTGCAATCATCCAAGAGTAGCATTACATAAACTACTTGTTCAAATGATTTACTATGTCATAAAATAAACAGCATATTTAATAAATTTTTTCACAAAAATCACAAAAATACTTTTTTTACAACGGTATTAGGGAAATACAGTACCGAAATCTTAGTATAAACACATCATTCAACCCATCTAAAACTGATTCTACATTTAAAATACGTACACTCAGTGTCACTGTTTTAGTAAAGTTATTACAGTCTTGTAGATTTAAAAACTGTATTTATCAGTTCCAAAGTCAATTGTGAGTATGGACTGATGTTTATATGGTGAATCTCTATAGGCTAAAATATAACAATCGTAGGGTAAGTACTGTTTAGAAAAGTTTCAAAACATTATAAAGGATTGATTTTTTTTTTCAAGGAAATAACTGTTTCACTAAGACTTATTATATATATGTGAGGTACATAGTCATCTTACCACACACACATGACGTAGTACGGAGTCCAGCAGACGAAGAATACGAACACAATGGTGATGGTCATCTTCAGTGTCCGGCTCTTAGCACGGCCCAGGAACCCAAGGCTGGACCTCCTGAAGCCCTCTGAGGATAGCAAAAAACATCGGTCTAAGTTTGGATTGCAAACAAGATATATAAATGCACAACATAGTTATCTCCTTACTACAGGCAGAAAACTCATTTTTATGGATTTTGCCTATTGAATTCCAGTTGGTTGTAGCGTCTGTAAAAAATATGGGGTAGCTTAAACCATGTAAAATGAACTATGATGACTAGGAAGGTGGCGTCGTCGTGTCATCCAGCTACTAGGAGGTCACGAATTGTGGATATTTATCGGAATGCACTGTGGATGCGATAACCCCTGGTGTGGATTAACGTCCACACTAATGAGTACTACGACTATCCGCAGTACTATCCTGATTACAAGGAAACATTTGGTTCAGATCCCACTATAAATTATAGGTCCCTTAGTTGTCAATGACTGTATAGGCTATTAATTAACAACTGTGTCTAAGGAATATGTCGGATTTAGTTAACAAGACTGTGACAAGACTACAAGATCCTGCACTCATCCTACACTCTTCTCCATTCATACTTGGCTTAATATACCTGCATTCGTATGGTCACCATTTCAGATTAAAGTATTAAATTATGAAAGTAAAGTCAGTGTGAACCATATTTATCTTTTGTGTGTTCATCGACTGTAATGGTAAGAAAAATACAAAATATAATGATCACACGTTACACTATAATTAAGTGTAAAATCCTGTTGACAAGCAGTTCATATAAATGTAATGCCTGCTTCGCGTGATAGTTTTATCAAGTATTTTAGTACATTTATAATGCAAAAATCTAATTTGGAATGAAAATATAAATGCTGCAGTTGTAGAAATAGTTGCGCTTAAAAGCTTCTTAGACTCTCAGACAAACTGGCGCTAGTGTCACCAAGAGTAATTATTGGTCCCCAGTTTCTGCGGGGATTTACAATCTTGAGCGAGCCAAAAGTAACATTAGTTAATCGTATATCTCAGCCTCACTGCAGTTCCAAAAGGGGGCTACATGTATAATTTTACAAATAAATTTGAGTGGAAGGGAATGGAAAAGAAGAATATAAACAACATACGACACATTGGTCAATTGATTTGGAATAAATGGCATAGCGCAATAAATAAACTGTCCGTCTGATATAAGTTTGGAATCTACATAAAAATCAGAGTAATTATGGAATTGAATAAAAATATAAATGTAATTAAAATCAAGTAACACGTAAAACACATATTTATATACCAATATCTATTTACTTCATAAGGGTACATATTAACATAGGATGGCCGGTAAGTGGTGGTCTATTTTCTTTGTATCCCCAATCATCACAAGATTTGATAAGAGAACAACTAATTAATTTTTTAATCTATTTATTTACGGTTACATCATTTTTACAGGGTTGCTGATATTGATACAATATTGAAAGATTGAGATTATATGAACGAAAAGTAATAAATGAATGGAAGTGAAATGTGAAAGGAGCATAATAACTTAGCCTAATTAAATTTGCTTTCCTTCTGCCTTTTCTCATGCTTTTTTACTTGTTTTGTACTTTCTCCTATTAGCTTGTCAATAACACCTTATAACGGGTTACCGGTGGGAGCAACTATGATATTTTTTTTTAAATTACAAAAAATTGAACAAACTTTGAACCATAATCGTTGTAAAAACATTTTGATAAGAGTTCAAAGGACGATAATAGACTAACATTTTAATCAACACTGTTTAAGACGTTTTGTAAAATGTAAAATTTGTCTATTATTTTATGAAATCCACATTGGAAATTAAATGTTCATTTAACTTAAAAAGACGCATGGATAAGTAGCCTACTTGCAAAGAGTATAAATAAAACTTGGGCCACAGGTATGTAGCTTGGAATACATTCTCACAACACACACACACATACAGGCAACCCCACCCCCCTCCCCACACACACAGACATAATCAGGTGGATGCCATAGTTTCCTACAGTTAAGAAAAGTATGAGTTTACCTACTACTTCAAAGTTTTCATTTAATACAGTCTCGATATCATCAATAGTTGTAAATTATTTTTTATGATAAAATAGTAGTGCGAATTTAAGTAATAAGATAGATATTTATGAAATGATAGATCTTGTTTGAATGTCATAATACACACTTTAGGCATACCCCTTAAACTTGAGATTGGTTATTTATCAAAGAATAAATTAATGTTTAATCAGTAACTATAAAGTCACAACAGCTCTTGCAAAAACTAGAGAAAACAAGTTGTTGTTTTACTCAAAACGTCCATTCAATTATCTAGACCAGTAAAGTCTTAGCATCTTAACGAAGTGGCTTTGGCATTAGTTTAATTAAGAAAAGCCACGTTTCGAATTAATTAAAATCCAGCTTATATAGAATGTTAAATATGTGATCGTAGTTCCATGATAAAACAATAAAATACAAACAAATTTTACAAAATTAAATAATTATAGATAAATAAAATGCTACTTACATTGATCATAAAAATAATAAAAATATGTACTAAATGTGCTAATTTATTCACAAAAAATAATGTTATGGTTGTGGAAATTATTATGTTGTTAAGTTTTATAGTTAGTAATGCCTGTTTCAAAGATTGCAAAACGCAACATTTGTTATCCCACAGTTTATTATAATTTTAAAATATAACATGTCGCTGCGGATGTCTTGGTTAAACGATATTTTTTCATGAAGTTTAGGGTTTTATACTACGTAGTATGCTTTTAAATGGTTGTACAAACAGTTTTTTTTATTATTTCAGCAGCAAATTCAAGTATGTATCCACCTAAAATCGAGTTAAAATAAGCGTTTGTGAAACGTAGTTTGCAGGTGTTGTAGTGTGTTGGTCGTTTACAAATTTATATACAAATCCTTAAATAAACAATAAACCGCTGCATATGGTATATCGTGTTAACAAATTACACACTTAAAAATTAGTAGATAATGCCGAAGCTGTATACGTTATTATATTTTGTGATTTTATTTTAAAATTACCAAACGTAATATAAATATATTAATCAAACTGAATGTACATATAAATTTTACGGCATCGCACCATTTTTTAATTATTGCCAAATGTTTGTCGTCAAATTAATATTTAAAATCACATGTATTTGATGTTATTCCAAAGTTTTACAACATATGGTACTGATATAAGATTTTAAGTATAAAGCTAAAACTGTCATGAATCAATAAAAAAAGTTTGCATATAACGATACTAGTAAATTTAATATTCTGTATATTGTAGCTAAACTAGATATATACTGCTTGTTTTGTTTAAAAATGTTGATGACAGTTTTCTGCAACGAAAATAAACATTTTAACACAGTTAAATTGTTTTTGCGATGAATAAAAAGAACGAGAACTGCTTATAGATAACTGCATAACATTACATTCTACCCTAATTAAATCCAAGATCTGTGTTAGCAAACGTATTTAGATAATAACCGAATAACATTTGCCGGTTGCCTTAGAATCGTGCTATCGAAAATTGTTACATATTTGATTTAGCAATCAATCAAAACACTTTTTAGATTTACATATAAGAAAAAAAACTTGTAATTTACTGTTTTTTTTTTAAATTTAAATAAGCAAAATTTGATTAAATCCCAGCCAAAACCAAAGTGTAGTTAACACTCTTGTAAATTATAAAGTATTAAAACCGCTTAAACGTGTCTTACAATATCATTTACTCAGAGAGATTTGGCCTGTAAGACGTTAATTTTGATCTATCGAGTTGTCTTGTAATGAAAGGCAGAGTTTTGTGTGAACGATTAATCCTCATTTTCTTAAAAGAGATTTGGTGGAGAAGGCGGAGGGAGGGTATTATTTATTTTCGTGAGGATTGAAAAGAAAAAGGATCATTAGATTTTCGCTGGTAGTTTTGGCTCTATGTTCAATTAAAGCATTTGCACTTAAACAAATTACAAAAAAGTACAGTTTTTTAAATGCGGTGATATAAAATGTCTCTTATATACTGTCGCAATCCCATTGCATAAAAAATATACCATACAGGGTGTAAAAAAACTCTCTAAAGGTTTTAAAAACATCATATGAAAAAAATTGGTCTAAAATGCCTGGTTTTCTGTTGCCTGATTTTCACAAATGTATCCATAACTTTCGAATCCTTTAAGCAATAGACTTAAAACTTAATACCTAAGTAGTGACAGATAAGACCACTTAGTGCATCGGGTATAAAAATGTACTCGAAGAAGAAAATTATATTTTCAAAACATGATGAAATTTGGATTGGGAAAAGTGTAAGCGAGAAAGACACTTTCTTCCATTAATGTAATTATGTTTTCATAAAAGAAAGGGAGTGACCTTTGCACAAATGATACAATGCAGTTTCCTTGAACTATTCCATTCCTTTGATTGAAATATCCTTAGAACGTAATAAACGTTTCTAAAGCTCTTTATACTCAAATATTCATAAAATAGATTATAAATAGAGATAGAATAATTTTGTCCTATTTTTAACGTAATCTGGATAGCATTTTAAGAATGTTTTTACATTAAATTAAATTCTGATATTAAAATGATTTTTGACCATTGGTGTGCATAAGTGAACATGTGGGCATACAATAAGTATATTTTCTAATCATATTTTGATGACTATTTTAATAATTAAATCTCTTCTTTATGATATGATAGAATAAATATTTGGTACTCAATGTGGAAGTATACTTGTATAAGCCAACTGTATTCAAGCGTAAATCATGCATTGCCGCTTTGGGATGGATTACACATTCATTATCATATTTGATTTGCACAAAGTCATTAATAAATTAATCTTTTCATAATTTATGGAACTCATCTGAATACAACATGAATTTCCACGCTTGTAATTCACGACTATATAAAACTATATATTTATCCAACGGTTGATATAATTTCATAAACGAATGATGTGCGAAATGCTTGCTGTTGCCCAGAGTCTTAATAATAAGTGAAAGGATGTAAATATTCACCAACATTACATTATCGTATACATAACCCGTTCTTAAATGTTAATGAATGTTATTACCACACGCCTAACTTTTTATGTATTGAAAGTTTTGGTTTTGTTTATTTTTGCTCTTTGTCAAACTATAACTTATGAATTACTAGTAGTTGCAATACATAACAATGGTTTGAGGACGTTTAAGAAATCGTCTAGTTCTTTGAATCACTGTTTATAGGACATACTCAAACCCCATAGCCCGAAAGGCGAACGACAGCTCAAATCTTTTTATTTTTATTCAATTAAATAATTTCAGAATTATTAAGGTAAGGAGAGTCGAAACAAAGCCAAAGCAAGCGTTGTAGCACTTCTTGTTGTTGTTGCTATGTTAGCAACGCAGTACAACTCCCAAGGTATTAAAAGACATCAAGTGTGAATTTCTAAGTCTACAGACAAAAGCAGTATTACGCATAATAAGCTTCCTCTACTCACAAACGACAAAGTTTGAGGTAAAATAATGTAGAGATTACTGCGTGGTGGGAGGAGAGACTGACATTAACTTCTAAACCTTTTGCTGTATATTGCAATAAATTAACATATATTTTATATTATTTTAAATACTTAGTGCCCAAAAGGGCTCCTAATTGTTGAATAGTAAATAACAAAAAGAGGGAAAAGGGGTTGGAGGTAAAATACCCTTACGTTTAGCAAGTTTAATGAAAGCTTTATCTTTTGGGTAGCGCACCTCAGTACTCCCAATAGTGTGATCAATTGAGTTCCTGAGCTTTACCGCCCCCCTGGCTGTGACATATCAACATTGAAAGGTGAAATTATACCTCCCAATTTTATCAGCTCGGTCAGATAAGGCCCCTTATACACATGCGGTCGCCACACTAAATTATATATTTTATATTGCAGCCGCAGTGCATAAAACCTATTTTTGAGTCAATGTACTTAAAGAACCACCCTGCGGCGGAAGTTGCATGAAAGGCGCCTTATAAACACCTTATAATCTATTAAACCAATCGATAAGCTGAAAACAATTTTTAAATTAGTTCAATCCTATTATAAGCGAGTTTATTTAGACGGTATTTATCTTTCTTTTCATTTAACCAATGTTGAAATTATTAGAGCAAATTAAACAAAATATTTATCTGCGATTGCTTTTCTTATAGTATTGTTACCATATGATTAAACACTGATTGAAACATCTACTTAAAATCAGGCTTAATACCTTCAGCGCATTAAAACATCACCAAAATCGAACACAGTGAAAACAGGCTAAAAAGTACTCCAAAATGTAAAGTTTACTTTACACGCAATAAATGTTACTAAATAAATCTAACTTATTGTCAACTTTAAATATGCCATAATGTCTTCGTAGAACTTCACATGCCACGATTGTGGCGACTTGTGCCCGTGTTCTAATAAAATAACAGCTGATCGTCGGCAACCACAGTTCAGGGACTAACAATATGGAGTTTAATTTACTACAGTCTATCATACCTCCAGGTTCCCTAGAGCGACGGTAGATCTCTCCTAGGATTGATGCGTAGGAGAATATGATAACCAGTAGCGGCAGGCCGTACATCATGATCATGCCGAAGAAGAAGTAAGCCAGCTCGTGGGTCGGAGAGGAGAAGGCGCCAAAATGAACACATTGGTGATACCATGTGACATTCGGGTGGTTCTCCACGTGAAACACAAACGCCTGAAATAAAAAAAATCAATAAAAATTATTTTTTTTTTCATTGGAGGTGTTAAAAAGGAATATTTGTAATAGAAAAGATAAATGTGGTGAAATTCAACCTCCACGAACTATGAGAGGTTACAGTAGAACCCCTGATATCCGGCCTTGGTTTTACTGGTCCTCTGTTTATCCGGCCTCTTCGAGGAATCCAATATCAAAATGTTTTTCTCACAACTTACAGACGTTTAGATGAAAGTACTAGTCTTTGTAACTTGAGCGTTGTCACTATTTATCTGTTTGTTTATGCATTTTACTTAATCACTATTTAGTTGAGCTAGTAGGCCTAACCTCTGAACAGTTGGTTAATTATTTCCAACGAGGGTTTATCACGGTACATTAATCAAATCTGGTATTTCACAAAATGGATAAGAATGTTGAGTAGAAAGGTTTGTACCATTTAAGTCCTACTGATCAAGGCCACTTTTTTGTAATTTTAACCTCCATTACTTATTATTTAATAGCTATTGTTAAAAGGAATCATATTGTTTGTATGTTCATTAACTTACTTAACAGCTTTAACCTACAAATAATATTTTTTTCTTCATAAAAATATGTTTATTCTTTTGAAAATAACATCAGAAAAACCTTGAATGATACTTTTGACTGCATATATTGATTACATATTATTAAGTATGAACTGTCATTTTTATAGTAGTTTGCTTAATCTGGCCAGGGGCTTGGTCCCGTGGTGGCCGGATATGAGGGGTTCTACTATCTTAAGTTACCAGCAAAGAATTCTGTAATATCTTAAACCAATGATTGTGTCAAATCTTGTAAATGTAACTATAAACATGAGTGTAAAGGGACAAACACGTTAGCCCTGATGCTTTACAGTCTCAATCAAATGAGCTGTAAACTAGTTACTTCTTTCAAATGCTCGTAAGAGCAACTTAACTAAAGCTTCGGCTTCACAATATTATGTCTTCCAACCAAAGATATTTAGAAAATACACCTACTTACAATGGTAAAATGTTGACCCAAGATCTATCTTAAACACAATAAACGAATGTAATGAACCAGTCAATTTCAAACAGTCATACCAATCACCAGGCACCACCAGAGACAAAAATTTAGAAGGATTTTAACATACACAAAACAACAGAACCAAACCTACTACATTAAGTTACATTACCTTATACGGCAGAATTAACAGGGGGAAACTAAACATATTGTGGAATTTAAAGTTAATATTCTAACTTCGCGATTAAAGCAATTCCTAGTGAGCATACATAAGTTGAGGTCTTCAACAAAAAGTTCTCACATTCTTGAGCTACAGGAAAACCACGTTGAAAACCTCGATGGAAGTGTAAGTAACACTGATTGTGTTAATTGTCTTGCAGAAAAAAAACAGAGACTTGTATCGTATTGTCAAGATATAAATCAGTTTTGCTAATCTTTAAAGATGTGATTCCATGGTTCAATATACATACACATTTATAAATTGATGTGATATATATCGATATATTTATTTAATGTACATTCTACATTCAACTACATTTAGTTGGTTTTGATTGACACATGGGAAGTACCCATAATGTACTCCGTGAGTTGGGAAAATTAATAAGAGAGTGAGAGTTTTCTTATAAACAATAACCTAGAAGACAAAAATATTTCGTCCCCGAGGGTTTAGCTTAAAATATACAATTGAAATATACCCTGCACCACTTAAAAAAAATAATTAGTGAAAAAACAAAATGGCGGCTGTGTGAGTAAATATAGACCTGCGCACAATTTAAATATTATATTTAGATATGTTTCTTACTCAGGAACAATGCCCTAAAATATTGGAAGAGTGTTCCGGGACACCCTGTATAATATATTGCATAGCATGGAAGTATGTCATATTGAAGCACACAAAAGTAAACTGATTAATGTGTGAGGAAAGCCATTATTGATTAACCAATAATCATGATAATGATGGAGCCAGTGTCATCCATCATCTGACTTTGTCACTTGGAAGATTAGTCGCCAAAACTAAGCATTCCAATTACATTGTTTTATAATCCCTGCCACTCAATTAACTTTACATCTAACCTTCAAATGATATAATCGGTAGGATTAGAGTTTCAGAAGAATAATTTACATTTTTCCTTCAGGAGTGAATTATACACTCAGTAAAAATACTTTACGCTTGACTATCCGGTTTTAAAAGATTTTCCATGCGTAGAGTTAGTCCGGGAAACAGCTGTTTTCCGCTTGCTTGGTCGAATGAAATTTAATTACGCACACATTAGGTCTATATAGTAATAAAATTTTTCCAAAAAATCTATTAAATGGATTTATTTTGGAAAACAGCTGGTTTCTGCAACGTTCTGCCTGCAACGTTCTGCCTGCAAACGTGTAAAGCCAGAATGTACGGTAATGAGTGTTTATAGACACCAGCTGAATATAATCAGCCTATGTTTAGTTTGTTATTAACACCATACGTGTTTTGTAAACATGGATAAAATTATCAATGTAACAAAATATAACAACTAAATCAAATCAAATTAACTTTGTTTTCGCAAATAAATGTATGTATAAAAGCGTCAAAATTCTTGACCTAAAACCAAACTCCGTAAAAAATAGGCTCCTAAACAATAACTAGATCTGTGTCAAAGGTTTGAAATGTGCTTTGATGCTATTGTCATAAATACTTTCAATATATCGAACAAAAAATACAAAAGGAGGTTTTGAAGAGAAGAATTTTCTTTATTTCGTAAGTATTGTGTTACTAAACAGAGTTTCTCGGAATGTTATTTTACACAATTTTCACGACAGACGTCGTGTTGTAGGTCTACACAATACTTTGCAAACGTATCAAACTCAGGCAGTGTAACACAAAGCTTGAAATGTTGGAATGGATGTTTACAATTGCCGGTGGCTGAGTTATTTTATGTAAGCCCAATCTTATTTTCCGAGAAGTCAACGATAACATTTCGATCATAGAACGTCGTAGAGGATTGCCAATTTGTACCGATATCACCTTTCAACCAGGCCGTAACCTTAAGAAATGCGAAAAACACAGTCGTTGTTCTGTGTTATCTATCAGTCATACATGATAGCGTTTTAGGGAATTTCCCAGGTTAACGGAATAAGCTATAACCGAAGGTGTCTTTGACGCGGGATCGATTTACTTTTTCGTTTTGAGGTCCCTAGAGACCAAACACTAGGCATGTTTGTGGAAATTCATGTCCGTTAGCAAATAACTCAAATAAAACATCCGATTTTAATGAAATTCGGTGCAAACGTGTAAAGCTAACTTTATTCAAACCAATTCCAGAACCGGCATGATCGGACTATGGGAACAAACTTTTATAGAATAAAAATGGGGTTTCCAGTTTTTACCTACAAAACAAAATACGTTTCAATTTCTTTTCAAACTATTTTATTGGTTGGAGAAAGCACAAATAATATAGTATGTTGGAGCGTTGTCAAGATAAAATGTACAAAAAGTTTAAATCTTTTTAGGTAAATAAATAAACCGGTGTAGTTTGCTTGTTTAGGGACATATGGCGATCTTATTAGGCAATTCTTTTCAGACTATACTATTAATATTTGACCAAAAGAAATTTGTCTTTCTGTTGCAGCAAACCTATGTAATCATACAGTTAATAATGTTATCGAAACAGGGCATGAATCTGGCAATTTTAAGGGAAAACTTTGTAAAAATCCAACAAGGTAAATGGGAAATTCGCTTATTCTGCGGGTTTGCTGGTTGTATTTACGAATGTTGTAGGCCAAGAGTGTAATACACTCAATAGTTCGTTTTGAAAGTAACGTACTAATTAAATGTTTAAAACAGATTTTTTACAGC